GGTCCCCCAGAACCTCGCCTGGCACTGGAGCTCAGAGGAAGTGGGAGCTTGTAAATTTAGTTCCTGGTGCTGGCCTTTTAACACATTGTATGCGGGAAACGTATTTATAAAAAGTATAAATACGTTTCCCGCATACAATGTGTTAAGAGGGGCAGCTGGGTCTCCCAGCAGCCTGTGTCACTCAGGCCCAATCTGCACTGGTTTTTATAGTCCATAGTTCTTACTGCCCATAGGGACTTCTCTCCCCAGCTCTGAAACCCTGGGCTGGGGTTCTGGTGTGGGCCTGGGACTCCTTGTTCCTCCAGGTGGCCTCTGCAGAGGCAATCTCCTTCCAGATTAAAAAAGCAGCACACCTGGGTACTGGACCAGCCTATTCCGTGCCTCCGCACCTCCTCCCAGTCTCAGTGTGCTTTCTTCTTTATTTCTCTTGTTGTAGTACTTCCACTCAGCCAGCTTTCTGGCAGTTCTGGATGATGGTTATTCTGTATTTTAGTTGTAATTTTGATGTGGTTGTGGGAGGCAGAAAGTAAAGGCATTTACTTATGCCACCATCTTGGTTCTCTTTGATTTCTAGTTCCCAGGCCAGGAATTTTAATCAATTATAATTAAAATTTTTAAGATCAAAAATATAAATAAAATGGAAAATGCCTTTGACGGGCTTATTAGTAGACTGGACATGACTGGGGAATACAATCAGTGTTTGAGGATATATCATAGAAACTTCAATAAATGAAAAATATAGAGAACAAAGAGTGGAAACAAAACAGATCAGAATATCCTCTTTTATAATAAAAACCCAACGACCAAAAAATACAGTGGCTTTGTGTAGTAGGTGTCTTATAGAGCCCAGTGGCTCAGCCTGTCCAATCACCTGAGGTGGACACTCTTGGTGCACCCCTTTGTGGTCTGTGTGCACAGTCTTGTTGTAGTTGAGCCTTGATTGCTGTTCAGTGGAACTGGTCGGCCAGTTGCTATAATGTGCACTGACCACCAGGGGCCAGATGCTCAACGCAGGAGCTTCCCCCGGGTTGGTCAGTGTGCTCCCACAGTGGGAGTGCCACTTGGCTGACTAGGATGAGTGGTGCTCTCACAGCCAGCTGATCCCTGCTGGCCACGTCCCCCACCAGTGCACAAATCCTGTGCACTGAGCCTCTAGTCTAAGTATAAAAGGCAAAAGCAGACCCCAGTACTTGAGTTCTGACTAAGAAAAAATTCAGAGCCAAGACTCAAACTTGCAAGGAAAAGTTTATTCAGCAAGCAAAGCAAAAGTACACTCGAAAGAAAGTTTTGAGTGGTGGCTCAAAACACTGCCCCATGGTGTGGGCTAGGGTTCCTTTCAAACCCTTGGATGAGGTTGACTGCTTTCTTCATGGAGCTGACCTATTGGGGCCTGTCTGGTCTTCTCCTGTCCTTGTATGAAAGTCAGATAGGGCTTTTATCTAACCCCCTTGTTCTTCTCTAATGGAGGACAGAGTACAGAGTCTACTACATAGCTAGCTACATGCCACTGGATAAAGTCAAACGGAGGATCAAACCCTAGAGACCTGAGACGATCTATGGGATGAAATGGCACCCTAGGGGTGAAGTCCTGGTTAACAATACTTATTTCTAGTACCCGCTCTCCCATTTCTGCCCAATGCTAGGTAACCATTGCTAGGTGTCCAGGACTTTCTGCCCTGGTGATATTCCATATTTGGCCTATTGTCCTGCTCTGCTCATGCCTATCTGACTGCCTACCACATAAGTTCTGTGGGACAGCTGCAAATGGTGTAACACATGCAAAATGGAGCTATAAAAAGAAAGGGAAAAGAAAGAAACAGAAGAAATATTTGAAACAATAATTACTGAGGATTTCCCCAAATGAATCTTAGATATCAAACTATAGATCCAGGAAGCTCACAGAATACCAAGCAGGATACATACCGACAAAAATTATACCTAGGTATACAACTTTCCAACTATAGAAAATCAAAGAAAAAATTCTGAAAGAAGCCAGAGACAAAATACACTTCACAAATATAAGAATTATATATGACTTCTTCTCAGGAATCATGCCTCATGAAAATTGATTACCTTCTCCCAGGAACCAATATTACCAATCAGATCTCAGCATGTGAAGACCTTAATTGATAGAAGATTTTCCTACTGGTATTAGGACTTACTCACACTTTATAAAATAAGGAGAACCACTTAAAGTTGTACAGGGTAAATGAAAAAAATGCATCTTCCATTGAATTTTGGTGACTGCCTAATATGAAAAATCAGCTGGGAACATTTCTCACTATTAAAAGCAAAACAAGAATTTATCCTATTTTGCATTGTGTTGCACTTAAAAAGTTGAATACAAATAATATGATCTTATAACAGAAAAATAACTAGAGGGGCTCTAATTTAGGTTGGAAAATAAGGGTCATTCTCTGAGTAGACGAGACATTTAATCAGTATATGGAAAACAAGTAGAGTTATCCATGTAAATATGGAAAAGAATTCTCCTAAAGGAAAATACATTAGAATATCAGAACAATAACTAAAGCAGGAGGAAGAGAGTCTGATTGAATGTATTTGCATATATTTAGAGGAAAGCAATTAAGGACATTTATAATTATCACTGGCTTCCTGGTGTTCTCTCCCCAATCTCCTTCCACTAGATTTTGCATCATAAATGTTTAAGAAATAATTTAAAAGACAGGAAATACTTCAGGTCTTATACTAGGAAATGATTATCTCAAACTTGTGGCTTGAGACAAGTTATATAATGGAAATACAGAATGAAATCATTTTAAGGCAAAATCTGACTAGGAGAGACAATTTTTACCTTTCTAGATAAAAGTAGAAAAAAACACACAATACCCTTTGTCACACCTAAGCCAGAGTTTTAACAATTAGTAAAATGGTGCTGGAAAATTACACAAGACTGACAGTTAACAATGTTAATTGCATATAACCTCTGACCTATCTATCTTACACTTGGAAATCTATGATTTGAAATGTTACAACATCAACTTTAGGGAGAATAAAAGAAAACACACTGAATTTGTAACATTAGGAGAAACGGACATTTTTTCTATGAAATGTTGTGCTACAGAAACTATAAAATGTACTTTCATATGGTTATATATAAGATAATACTTAGTACACTTTCATATTTCATCATATTTGCATTGTGCCATTTTTAAGAGCATTTTGTTATCATTTCAAAATCTTTAATAAAGATAAAACTTACCACTATGTATAAAATTATAGACTCCAGGAAGGGGAGGAAAATTCAAATCCTTAGAGAAAAAAATGAGAGATTTAATTCACCAATGTTAAAAAGTGCTTCATGAAATCAGACAATGTTGGGACGTAGAGTAGCCTTAAGAGAAGACATTGAGCCCAACCCCTCAATTTATTTATTTACTAATATAGTCATTAATTCATTCATCCTATCACTCATTCAGTTTTGACATAGATGGAAGCTTTTGAAAAGTGAATTTTAATTATAAAATTAAACATATTAGTTGTAAAACAAGTTCAACAACTTAGATGAGAATGATCCCTTTCCTACTCCATTGGCACACTACTGAACTAACCAATGTTAACAGCTTGGCCTGTAGCCATTCACACTTCTCTCTCTGATCATGTACATACCTACATACCAACATAATTTACACATTAGGTGGATTTTACCCTCACCTGCTCACCTTTTTTTTCTTTCCTTTTTTTTTTTTTTTTTTTTTTTTTACAAATTATGGTCAGTTCTACAAATGAAGCTTTGATTTGATTCTTTCACATCTATCAGTGATTTTGTCAGAAAGTTTCTTCCAAATCAAAGCATGAACTTACTCTTTTTATAATCAGCTGCAAAACACTTCAAAAAAAATATGTTTCTCCTAATAATGCAGATACAGGTTGTTGTGAGTTTCTTCCAAATCAAAGCATGAACTTATTCTTTTTATAATCAGCTGCAAAACACTTCAAAAAAAGAATATGTTTCTCCTAATAATGCAGATACAGGTTGTTGTTTTTTATTTCCTCTACAAAAGATGCTGTAATATTTGTTTCTATATTCCTATTTCTAAAGCATAGACTTCCAAATGTAAGACAGCTAAGTCAAAGATTATGAACATTGCATTTTAATAGCAACCATAAAATAACAATTACTGTATGGCAATGTAGCTATTTAGACATAGCTACTAGTACATTAGCTATGTATAAAATTGTTGCTCATAGTGAATGGTAACCTTACTAGCCTTGCAAATAATCATTTTAATGTTTGCTAATCTAATAGATGAAAAAAAATTTTTGCCTTGTCATTTTGATTTAATTTACTCAAGCAATTGTGGAGTTGAGCAATTAATATATATAATATATAATATAT